ATTGAGCTTTTCCACCGCCTCTTGCCACAGATGTAGTCAATCTGATTCCTGTGTGTTCCATCTGGTGAAGTCCACATGTACAGCCTCCATTTGAGTTGTTGAAAAAAGGTGTTTGTAATGAACAAGTCAGTTAGGGAAAGAGATGTATTAAATTATCCCACTATAATTGTTTTAATCTATTTCTCCTTTTATTTATGTCCAATTTAGTTTGTATATTTTTTTTTTCTCTTTTCTGGTCTTCTTTTGAATTAATTATGCATTTTTCATTATTAATTTTCCCTATCTATAAGCATGAATAAGAGCTCTAGTGGTGCAGTGTTTAAGGGATTTGGCTGCTCACCAAAAGGTCAGGTTCAAACCCACCAGCTATTCCACAGAAGAAAGATGAAGCAGTCTGCTTCCATAAAGACTTACAGTCTTGGAACAGTGGGCATCACTATGATTTGGAATTGAGTCCATGGCAGTGAGTTTGGTTTTGAGCTTACTAGCATGTATGTTTTTCATTCTTTTATTATTCTTTTAGTGATTATCCTGGAGATTACAAAGGGCATACTTTATTTATAATCTAATACAAATCAATACTTTCACACCACTTTTCCCACTTTCGGGACAATGAAAGAAAAATAAAGAGTTTTAGCTCCATATGCCTACTCAATTTTTTGTGCTATTGTTTTCATGTTTTAAAATAATGTGCTTTATATCTCCATGAGATATTATTCATTGTTGTTGGTTATTTAGTCAATTTGTAAATTTGCCAATATATTTCCCTTTTCAAATCTTTCTTCATTTTTTTTTTTTTTCTGAATCTCTATGCTTCCATTTAGGGTCAATTTTCTTTTGCCTGAAGATCATCCTTCATTGTTTCTTTTAGTCAGAATTGTTGGCGACAAATTCTCTCTTTTTTTTTTTTTTTGTTTGAAAATGACTTTGTGGTGATTGTTCTCTCTGTTCATTTTAGTTTTCTTTTTTCACTCCAATTTGGGTAGTTTTTGCACTTATGTGTTTATCTGTACTCATTGTTTTCAAGTGTACATAACACTTTTCAAATCTCCACATTTATCTCTGTGAGCAGCTTTCTCATCTCTCATCTCCAATACGCTATTCTGCAAACTCTAGCTGCCCTAGCCCTCCCTGATTCCCAGCTCCATATTCTCAAATCAGGGAGACTGCTGGGCTATGCTTAGGATACTTCTCCCTGTGCTGTGGTCTGGAACTCTCTCCAGGTTATAATCCAAGGTGTTTCATAGGTAGATAGGTATGCATATATGTATATATTCCTATTTATTATACATAATTAATATGCAATTATGGGGCATAACTCATTTGTTTTCCCACTCTAAGAGATAAGTTTTCTTTTTTTGCCTGGTTCCTACTATGTGAAAACATTTTTTGCCTATCTTTTGTGCAGTTTTTTTTTTTTAAACTTTTATTGTGGTGAAAACATATACAACAAGACATTCACCAACATAACAACTTCCACATTAACAGCTCAGGGACATTGATGACATTTTTCATGTTGTGGCATCATTATTGCTATCCTTTTCCAAAATATTCCACCACAATTAGCATAAACTCAATCTCCCCAAGCAAAAGCTTCCCCCCTTTCTCCCTATCCCCTATTCCTGGTAACCACTAATAATCTTATATAGATATAGATAGATAGATAGATATAATATATATAAAAAACCCAACACACTGCCATCAAGTTGGATCTGACTCATAGCAACCCCTCCCTTGGTTTTCTGAGGTATCACTATGGAAGTAGATTGCCCAACCTTCCTTCCAAGGAGGGGCTGGTGGGTTTGAACTGCCAGCTTTCTGGTTAGCAGTCAAATGCTTTAAACGCTATGCCACCAGAGTATCAGAGTATGTGTGTGTGTGTGTGTGTGTGTGTGTGTATGTTGTTGTTGTTATGTGCCGTCGAGTCAGCCCAAAATCATAGCGACCCCTCCTTGGGTTTCTGAGGTAGTATCACTACAGAAGTAGGATTGCCCAACCTTCCTTCCAAGGAGTGGCT